CAGTGTAAACAGTGTGGCCATTTCTGTCTGTTTTCATCACTTGTGGCGCCGCGTGAAAGCACAGAAGGTCGTATGACTTGGGGCGGGGCCAAATCAACACCAGAAATGTTTTGAGAAGGAGAATGAAGAAAGACTGTGCACCGGCACTCATTCAGTCGCTCAGTCAGCCTCACCGATGTCTCTAAACAGCGTAGCGATGGGACAACGTTTCATGAGACCCCTGGTGGCTTAGAGGGAGTGACGCGATGGAGTGAGGGGCTTCCTCTATGCGCTGTGTGCGAGAGCGACGAATATTAACGGCCTCCTGTCTAGGCCCGATGTGCATTGGCATAAATAATTTCAGCTGCATTAATTTTCTAAGTACTGGCTAATAGATTGGACGGCGTCTCGGGGCCTATGTAGACCAGCACCGCTGCACAGGGAGCCATGCAATTTGTATGAGTGCGGGAACAATCCAGAAGTCGATCACGGTGAGAAGAGGGGGGGGGGGGGCATGTTGAGAGGGGGAGAGATGTGCCGCCACGGATTCTCTGACTCCGGCAGCTACAATCGTGCTATTTAAAAGTCGCACGTTGGTTTCGTCTCCGACTGGACTGCTCACGTCATAGGCAGCCCTTGCACACTTAGAGAAAAAGGTATTTCTATGTCGTTTCTGCTTGCTTTGCCTTTCTGGTAGCCAGTCTTCAAGCAGACATTTGCAACCCCGAAGAACCAGACAGATGCTTTGCGCGACACGGAATGAGCAAGGTGATAGCAGATGTGAATGTTCTCAACGTGTAGATCATTCAAAGACCTAAGCGGGTGAACTTAAACGCTTTTGGGAGTGCATTAAAATAGGGTATGTCGATGTAGTGAAATGATCGCCTTTCATGAACATATGCGGTATAGCGCCTTAACTCAGAGATCACGTGGCTTTAAAATTGCTTGGTTATGGGACGGATCAAGACCATGCGGCGATAATGCTGCACAACCAAACCAAAATACTCAAATATTGTATACAAAGCCTTACATAGCGTCATCTTGAGAAACCATTAGATCAGACACTTTTAGTAACTCATTGATTTGTTGGCTACATATCTAGCCAGATGCCGTAAAAATTTTAAGCATTTGTCAAGCATGAAATGACACGCATTTCATAGGGCCAATTATTGCACTGTCGATTACTGGCGTCGCTATGTGCCGAACAACGCTGAGCTCGCGTCACGTGCTGTGAACGGTGCACGCGCCTACCCTTTTAAGTTGATTTCGCGTTTGCATATGCTTTGACCTTGAGATCTGAACCAATCCTTGAAACCTTCTCTGAAAAACGGACAGATCCACGGTTTGCGCCCGGACGCACGCTTTTGGTTGCACATATGGGGACGCCCTCTTGCCAGCACGATTGAATGTTCTCTCTCTCCCTCTCTCTCTCTCTCTATCTCTATCTCTCTCGTTGGACGGAGCTGGTCTCGTGTCACCACGTCACAAGTCCGGTAAGAGCTCGTCCTGGCTTCGGCATGTTTTGCGCCACATTTTGTAAGACAAATTTCGCTCAGCTCATTTCAATCTAATGTAAAAGCTATGATGTCCGTACTGCAATGCGGTAGGAAAAATCCCACCGGATCAAATACGCTGCACCTAAGTGACTCACAAGCACGACAGCATAACTTTTGGGAAATGTCGTTTCTTAGTGCTGAAATCATCATGCGCCCCCCCCCCCCCAAAAAAAAATACTGATGGTTGGTGGTTGCAAAGACAACTGTAAGTTTATGATGATGTCTACCGGACAGCTTGCTTAAGTTGAAAATTTGCACACCGTTTAAGTTAGGCTCGCTAGATCTGCGATTTACGTAGCATTCAGTTATCTCTGCCATCTATAAGCTATGTTTCATGCTAGATTGGGTATGCAGGTTCTCAATATTTTTCAATAGCTTTAGTTATTCCTGTTCGATCTGGGCGCGGATTTAACAACTATCACTTTAGAAAACCAGCGGCGAAAGAGGAAAATTCTTACCGTTTAAATAGGAGTTCCCTGTTCGAAGACAATGTTTTTTTTCCAGCTGACACCTCATAGTTGATTTTATTCTGCTGCTCACAGAGGCAACGGAATGCAAGTTTTAGGTCCAGCGGGGTATTTACCATGAGTGCTAATATAAACGTGTAACTAAGAGTAGTTTGACATCTCCACTTTAAGCACAATTCCTACAACTTCACTATGACATTTCCGCAATACGGATTGCAATCTTTAACACGCAAAACCACACAACGATTAGAATTCATTGCAAATGGAGCCACGCGGTTTTCACGTACAAAATGGGAACCAAAAATTGGGGTAACACAAACTTTGTATGTATAATTAGGCAGAATTTGATGAGTCCTCTTCGGGAGCACGGCGGGACTTTCTCACTGCGAGGTGATGTTTACGTTATCGCGATATATTTACGGTTGCAGAACACATTTTGTCCATTGCCCTTTGTTTACATACTAAATGACGAACCTAAATTCCGCTCTAGGATAGTATTACGTGGTTAAAGATACCTGTGTAGTATTGAGCTATTTTTCACACGCAGCAAATGCGCCAACTGACCCCTTTTGCACTACATTCGTCTTTTTTGCGAGCAAAATCCCCCACGTACCCTTGCACCATGCTGCGGCTTCACTGCCGTCACCAAAAAAATGGCCCCGGGCAATGCGTAACGCGTATCACGTACTGCATGTGCGCAGACAAAAGTCTTGCGCCAGCTAAAATGTTTACAAAGCTACGACTGAGCCCAGAAAATCACGCGCTACAAAGGCATAGCGCTACAGCACGTATCACGTGCTACATGAGCGCAGACAAAAGTCTTGCGCTGCCTAAAATATTCGCAAAAGCTACGACTGAGCCAAGGAAATCACGCATTGGCCCAATGTTGCCTGGACATTAGCCAGGGCCCAGACCCACTGGGCCTGGGCCCGTCCAGGACCAAGTCAGATGCGGCGGTCAGTCGTCGAACAATCTCCGACTCAAGTCCCGGCCAAAGAGCTACAGTCGCCCCGGGGCAGCATGTGCTGAACGGCCGTCTGGTTCACCTGACAGCCGACGCAACACAGGCACGGCACGATCGATTTGGGAAATTGCAGGCATTACTCTGGCCGGCTGCCCTGTCAGGGCCACCTGGGAGGCCCAGTCGGCCGCGGCGGCGACGTGAGGAACCGCAAAGTGGGTGGCGCCCGACAGTGAGGCATTGGCTACTCGGCGAAAACCACGAAGTGAATGTTTGATAGCTCAATTGAAGCTGCACGCGATACTGACTCATTTAAGCGTTCACCGTTGCCATCTTGAGAACCTTCCTTAATCTGAGCGATTAGGTGCGCAATGTGGTTCGAGAACGGTGCTAATGGCCAGGGTTGCGAAAAGGAACCTTGAATCCAGCAGATAGACAGAAAATGACAGATGTTGCAAAGCTAAGGTAGCAAAGAGGGCCTAGCCGTTTTACTGAAACCAATGGACATTAAGCTGGATACAAGGGTGCCTTAGCATTCAAGTCACCCCTGCCGACTACCAAGAGCTTAACTCAACGAAAGAGTATTGAGGGTGTCAGGCTCGTGGGCGAGACAGGCGCCGCACATTTGGACAAACTTGGCGTCGGCTTACACACATCAACTCCTTTTCCCTGAAACGGGAATACGCCGTTCTTCATTCAGTGTATCTATCATCGTTGTGTTGTTACGCAAGGGTGGTGGCGCTGTGCGATGGCTTGGTGATAACGTCGGATCAAATGAATCCTTAGAGCTCCCGCTCTCAGGCTGGCTGTGACGCTGCAGCACCTACAGTGCTGATCGAAACGGAGTTTCCAAGCAGGCGGTTTTGGTCGATATTGGTGGTACCGTGGGGCTTTGCATACTAGATTGGTCTTTTTGACCGACGAGTTACCTATGCCTACATGTTTTGCGCAAGAGCAGGTAGGTAGTTTTAGGCTCATGTAGCATATTAATACCCTCATGCCCACGTAAATATCTCAAAGACAGCAAGCAAGCTGTCCTCTTGCTCAGCTCAGAAGGTAATGTACATGAGGCTATATGGCTTATAGGAATACGTTACGGTCAGTGTCAAGCGGACTGATTCTGCAATGAGTTTGCTTACAATACGGTGAGCGTACGGTATTTATGATGTCCACTAGGGATAGCTTATCCGTTTGACAAATTATAGGAATATCTATGTCGTGTATTAACATTCATATCCTAGTCCAACCATGATTACGTCCCGGCTGGGTTCCCTTATCGACACACAAGGGCCTGTTGCTGCTAAATGAGTGCCGTTTATCTAAATGGCCAGTATAAAACAGTGTAACTGCTGTCCATAGCTTGTGCAAGTTGAAGTTCTCGTTGGCGCTGCTCAGATATAAAGTAATCTATGTAAGCATTGTCCCGTCACGATTACTGCAATTGAAATGGCATGTGGATTGAGGAGGCGGACGTTGTACCTTAAGTCTTTCATATCATGGCATATCTCTTACCTTTTGACATGTTTTTTTTTCTTTCTTACTAGCAATAATAAAAGGGCAACAAGTGTGATTCTATGTGAACCCTACAGGAATAAAATGTGTGGTAACCTAACAAAGGGTTGCTGAAAATCCGTTAGTCATATCCGTGCTGGAATGTATTGCAGCCAAACATTCCCTTTTCAACAGCTCGTTTGAGCTGGGCTGCTTAGCTGAGTTGAGCCTGTCTTTTTTGCGCGTATTTTACCGCGTATTGGCCCCAGCTCACAATGTCATAATGTGAAATAAACGACGATGGTAGTGTAAATGCATGCACGCCAATATACATATGGATGTAAGATAGCAGCATGATGTAATGTGCAGCTAACAAGCTTTGCAATTTTGCAGTTATGACCTTGACAAGGGTAGCCATTGAAAATGCTGATTTCACAATATCTAAAGAATAATCTTCATGTCAGATATGACTCTAATTAGGGCACGTGCTAACATTGAGCATTGAAAATCAATTGAATTAGTGAAATACTACCGAATAGCTAGAAATGCCGCTGGAAATTACGTTTCAGGAGTGAAGATCAAGATACAAAGTGCTGCTATTGAACGAACAAATCAGGGTGGGTTTTCATTTTAATATATCGTACATGTAGTGCAAGCACGATGCTATCACACTTGCTGGGTTTGGTATGCATCTACAACTTATTTGTTAGTATAACTGGTCGACAAGTGGACATATTCAGCCAGGATGAAAAGCAGAAGTGTGAAGATGCCAGGAAGGCGTTTCTTACATCATCCGACAGGGCTATGAGAAACTGGAAAATAGCGGATGTTAGAAAGCTGGTTTTTGAAGGCGACATGATCGTGACGGCAGACCAAAAGAGTAGATGGACTCAAACTGGATACTTGACTGAAAACACACAGCCTCTTATTCAAGAGAAATGGGCAAGTAACACCGTTACTTACACGTTTGGAACTCCTGCACCAAATAAGGCCTTAATCACAGGCGCCATGAAAGAATGGTCATCAAAAACGTGCATTAAATTCGTTGAGGGCTCCGGCAATGCAATCAAGATAACTAAAGGTAAAGGATGCTATGCATCCTTAGGATACCAATCTTCGGGCATGCAGATGTCGGTATCTGACCTATGTGACAAGGGCACTGTGGTCCACTTGCTGGGCCATGTGATTGGAATAGTCCATCAACATTCTAGACCAGACAGAGATCAGTTCTTGTTTATCCAGTTTCACAATACGGCCTTGGAGGATGTTTTATTCTTAAATTACAAGGACTATGACAAGTGTCCATACGACTATGGCTCTGTGATGCACTACGACATGTTTGGTCTGAGCTACAATGGCGAAAGCGTCTTTCTGGGAAAGGCCAAGGGATCAGATGGCATGATGCTATCATCTGCAATTGGACAGGACTGGAGCTCGCCTTCCGAAAGCGATGCTGCCCTTGTAAACCGTGAATACGGATGTTCAGCTAAATCCTGCAGTACAAAGAAGATCAAGCCACCCAAGTGCAATCAGGAGGGGCTGGCGTCACAGCGCCAGTTTGAGCGTACAGTCACTTTCCAAAGCATGATGACTGAAACCGCCAAGGCAATCTCGTGCATTTGGAAGACTGAGGTACCAGAAAGTCTGACCTGCTCCCGGGCCGCAATAGCAGTGACGCTGTCTTCAAACCCCAGCAACGATCTGAAGCGAGTCTGGTTCGCCAGCGGATGCCGACTCTTCCAGGTGGAGATATACGACCCTAGCGCGGACATGAGCTACTTCTATTGCGGAGCTCAGTTTGCTAGGAAGCCGACCAAAGTGTTCGTATCGACGGCCCGTAAAGTGTACGGCATCGCGAAGCTGTATCCTGCTGACTGGGAGGGCTTCAAAGCTGCTGCGATCGGCACTGGTTCAGTTAAATTCTTCAACATCAAGGACTTTGTATGCGCAGGAGAGATCAATGGAAAATGCTATTAGTCAGACGGATTAATACTACATGATACCTGATATGAATTTGGACAAAATATTTAAATTAATTTTGTCGGACGGTTGACAGCCTAAGTCACAAAATATGCTGATGAGGTTAAAGTAACGTAGCCATTTGTCATAGTCATATCTAAATGTTGTTGGTGAAAATAAAGCATATCATTCATGAAGTGTGTCAGTGAGAGCAATAGACTAACTTCGCGTTTAAGGATATGGAGGTACAACTAACTAAATAACTTCATATCACGTAATCTGGAGGTTTCCATACTTCATGCAACTTAGTGAGCATACACTCTATTATTGCAGTGAGGGCTTTGTGAATGTACTCGTCATGCCAGGCAGAACTTTGTTAGCAGGGAAACTGGAAAAAACTAAATGAACCTAACGCGAAGACCATTCGCTGCACACCTTACACCGCAACATTTTCATAGCAGAGGCGAATCATTGCGCACTGTTTCGATAACCAGCGACACAACGTTGCACTTGAAATTGCAGCGATAGTGTTTGGAATATGCTCTAAACCAGCTGTTTGATGTAGCAATAAATTGTATGATGCACTAAATGTCTCAGCTTTCATGAAGCCCCACTTTTTCAACGCCCCACACTTGTGTCTCGTCTCAGCCGAACCAACAGCAAACAATTCCAGAAATCCGCATATTCCAACCCGCTCAAATGCTCTCAACAGTTTTGCTTTACGTGGGTTCCTGCTCACTTATAAATCGCATGCCGCAGCCGATTCATCTGTTACAGCAGGCGTATGTTTTTGTAGCGATGATCTGTTAGACGTTTTACGGAAACGTCCTAACGTTGAAGTAACAGCCTTTCAACGCCAGTCAACAGGAATTTTGCGAGCATTCGCGCGTGAGCCTGGAACTCGAAAATAAGCCTCAATTAGGAAGGCTACGAAAATTACATTGTCAGAAACACTACAGGTGCAATCACAACGACCCGGACGATAATGGCCATTGACATAATCCGTGTCGTAATACCTCAAAGGCTACGTGCTTTTTGGCCTGGCAACGGACTGAATAAGAAAGGTGTTACGTGACGTCGCGCACAATCCTCATCGGACGCAACGAATTCTTTTCGTTTACTAGGTCAAAGTTAGGCGGAAGTGTTGCATTTTAATAGCTAGTGGAACGAAAGTCTGTTTTTCATGACCGAAGAACGTTTGAACGAACGTATGCTTGGCATGTTATGCAACAACGTATTTTGCACTTTTTATGTGTTTTCCATGCGTGCGCGTTTTCCATGCACCGCATGTGCATTACGCGTGAACAAGCATGCCAATGTCATGGATGCGTATGTATTGTCATGAATATTAGGAATGTATAAACAGTATACGTGTCACGATGTGCAAAAGTCCGACAACAATTATACGTGATGCCACGGGGAACAGAACATTCTTGGTGCAATGCAAATAATTTGTTAATGCTGGAATACTCTCTGGGTGGTTTTGGTGAACAGCTGGTTTTGATATCACGATTTTTCATGGCAGAAATACGAACTGAAATCTCGTTTATGTCAATTCGAAGTTGTCAGCTCTGCTTCGATCCACTTTTGTATACACTACATGAACCACTATAAGACGCTGTAATTACCTTTCTTCTTTGCACTGCGTTTTCTTGTCCTTAGCCCAAGTTCTAGGCAAAAGATAACTGGAACATTGCGTGGCACAAAAAATGTGACCAACGATATGCCAATGCACAGCGACGTTGCTAAGAATCGCGTCAGATCATCCATCAGTTACATCAGAAGCTTGTACAATCAGTCAGCTTTCCCCCGTTTTGAGGTCCATTGTATTAGAGACAATTCGTGACGATGTCAATGTCCGTTGGGCACCAGCGAAACTAGTGCAGATCATATGCACACCGGTGAACGTGTGCGGTACACGGCACGTTGGGCGTGACGTTCGGTTTTTGATACTAGGTCCTGGGCGTGTGTCGAACGGCGAGCAGCCGACGCGACCCATGAGATGCTAAAAAACGGCCTAACGCGCCAAAACGGGCGCCGCAACTGTTAAGAGGCCGTTGAGACTCTGGTCAAAGCCAGACTGTGAAGGACCCCAAGGAGCTGAGGGAACGTAATAATGGCTCAGGTGCTGAGCGGTACGGAACAAACGTGGAAAAACGCCCCGAAAAAATGTTTCGAGACTGTGACGGTCATAAAACAGCCAAAGTCCTTTCAACTAGTCATGGTGCCTAAAACTGTCTATCGACTGCCTAACACACGATCCGGAAGAAACCCAAACGGCGGGGGTATTTGAGTCGACGGAGCCCCCCCCCCCTCACCGCAAGGTCAAGGGCCTGGGATCCGTGGAGACGGAGAATGCCAAGAGGTCCTGCAGTGATCGTGTATGGGACCTTAGACACTACAGGGGCAGAGTGAGAGACACGAAACTTTCGGAGGATTTGCGGACTAGCATCAGACCCACGGCAGTCAAGGAGCCGTGGATGGCAGAGTATCCGAAAACGGTCAAATGGTCGACAGACAGACAGGCAGACAGACAGACGTTGAAGCAACTACACAGGTAGCGAAGGGAACTCAGGAAGGTTCAAAAGACTATGGATTCAAAATAGCCTTACGCTGCCTTGAGCTTTATGTATCTTATGATATTGGCAGCAGGTCCCGAGGCCCTGAGGTCCCAAAACGGACGGAAGACAGAGATGGTCAAGTGGCCCTGACACGCTGTGGCGTCAGCTTAGCCAGGGAGTAATCAAGACAATCAGACAGTCACGTGACAATCAGTCGAACCGAGGCAGTGGACTATCGGGAGCTCTGAGATCTCGAGATTTTGAAATAATTGTGAGCTTTTTATTTTTATGTTTGATAACGCAGTATCCACGCGATACTTTTGCGTAAGTGAATAGCCTATCGGGCTGCTCCAGGTCGTCCATAGGACGAATAGGTATGATTGTTGTATCGCTTCCATTGGATTGTTTCTGACGAAGCTCAAGCAAAGCGCTCTATACGGTTTGCAATATAAGAAAGAGCAATAAAACCAAAAAAGATCTGTATATATATATATATATATATATATATATATATATATATATATATATATATATATATATATAATATCTATATATATCTATATCTGTCCTCTCTCTCTCTCTCATCGTCTATCTCTCTCTCTCTCTCTATCTCTCTCTCTATCTCTCTCTATCTCTCTCTCTCTCTCTCTCTCTCTCTCTCTCTCTCTCTCTCTCTCTCTCTCCTCTCTCTCTTCTCTCTCGCTCTCTCTCTCTCTCTCTCTCTCATCCTCTCTCTCTCTTCTCTCTCTCTTCTTCTTCTCCTCTCTCTCTCTCTCCTCTCTCTCTCTCTCTCCTCTCTCTCTCTCTCCTCTCTCTCTCTCTCTCTCTCTCTCTCTCTCTCTTCTCTCTCTCTCTCTCTCCTCTTCTCTCTCTCTCTCTCTCTCTCTCTCTCTCTCTCTCTCTCTCTCTCTCTCTCTCTCTCTCTCTCTCTCTCTCTCTCTCTCTCTCTCTCTCTCTCTCTCTCTCTCTCTCTCTCTCTCTCTCTCTCCTCTCTCTCTCTCTCTCTCTCTCTCTCTCCTCTCCTCTCTCTCTCTCTCTCTCTCTCTCTCTCTCTCTCTCTCTCTCTCTCTCTCTCTCTCTCTCTCTCTCTCTCTCTCTCTCTCTCTCTCTCTCTCTCTCTCTCTCTCTCTCTCTCTCTCTCTCCTCTCTCTCTCTCCTCTCTCTCTCTCTCTCTCTCTCTCTCTCTCTCTCCTCTCTCTCTCTCTCTCTCTCTCTCTCTCTCTCTCCTCTCTCTCTCTCTCTCTCTCTCTCTCTCTCTCTCTCTCTCTCTCTCTCTCTCTCTCTCTCTCTCTCTCTCTCTCTCTCTCTCTCTCTCTCTCTCTCTCTCTCTCTCTCTCTCTCTCTCTCTCTCTCTCTCTCTCTCTCTCTCTCTCTCTCTCTCTCTCTCTCTCTCTCTCTCTCTCTCTCTCTCTCTCTCTCTCTCTCTCTCTCTCTCTCTCTCTCTCTCTCTCTCTCTCTCTCTCTCTCTCTCTCTCTCTCTCTCTCTCTCTCTCTCTCTCTCTCTCTCTCTCTCTCTCTCTCATCTATCTATCTATCTATCTATGTATATATGCATATTATATGCATACATAAATGAATATATGTATATATTTATATGTATACATGTATGTATGTAGTATATATATGCAAATATATGCAAGTATATATACATATATGTATATATATATATATATATATATATATATATATATATATGTACCTGTTGTACCAGCATCTGGTTGAAATTGGTACATTGGTGCTGGATGAAGGGAATGCCGCAGTCTGGGGTCTTATTTGTGGTATTTGTTGATGGATGGGACTCCCGACGTTTTCTAAGCACCTCCGAAGCAAAACTTATTGATTGGTGGTGATGCATCTTATCCTCGGAGGCCGTTTCTAGCAAATTGCGTGATGAACGAATTGAAAGACTTTGGCGAGGCCAGACGGTCCGAATCGCCTTGCGAATCATGCTTTCGTTTGCGGCTCAGTCCGTGCATTGGAGCCCGCATGAGGATTGCTTCTCACGTTTTAAGGCGGTTGCGAATTATTTTTGACACCTGAAAACGCATACGCAACTTTCTCGACGTTTAAAGGCGTGTGTGAATTGTTCTCAATGTTTGAAGGCACCTATGGGTTGTTCTTGGCGTTTGAAGGCGTATTCGAATTGTTCCCGACGTAAGGCTCAGCACAGCCCGCCTGCCCTCCAACGTCACCTGACCGTCAGTGCGGCCGCTGCCGCCGGTAGCAGGTCACCCGGGTCAGAGATAAAGAGAGAGCGTCTGCAACGGCTCGAACACACCTCGCCAGTGATGGGCGAGTCGAGAAGAAGACGCCGTAACCAACTGAGGTACCGGGACGGGCTATAAGGCGCTTTGAGATGGGACGGTTTAAAATGTAGTTCAGCATGTAAAATGTAGTTCAGCATGTTCAGCATTTTCTCTATGCAACCTCCGACCTGGTTGCATAGAGAAAATGGTGCCGAGGAATAAAGTCATCACATCTTTTATCATTTAACGAATGCTTTTTGACAGCGTCGCTTAACTTCAAGCTTCTGGTATCCTGAAGCTCGATTATTTCCCAAATGAAATCTCCAAAGCCATAACGAATAATAAAATGAATAAAATTACCGAAACAGCAATAATTCAGGGTCATTCTTGCTTACACAACATCCGGCGCGTGTTTGTCGCGCTGCTTTTCAAACGGTTAGTCTGGAGACCGCACATTCACTAGTCTTTACCGTCTATGTCCTTCCAATTATTATGCACATGTGCGTTGAAATGGTCGTGCAGTTCAGCCTAATTTTTATATAGATATATCCTGCAGAGAACACGATTTTCTTAAGACCCTCGTCTGTACGCGTCAGGTCAAGCCCTGCCGTCTGTACGTGTCAGGTCAGGCCCTGCCGCATAGATTCGTTGTTTTGTGCCTCGGGACACCATTGATAAGCGAAAAACACCACATATTTTCGTTGATTAGAGCAGGCCGTTTTACTGTGATGCATTTTTGAGTTACATCCAATTCTCAGCTTTGAAAAATGAGGTCTCCTTGAGCGTCAAATGGGAAGTCATTTTGTAGCATCAAATATTTTTGGAACCGACCAAATATTAAGAAGGTTTTTATGTTGACATGGGGCGCAAATTGAAGTGGCCGAAGTTCAGGGAGAAATCAAGATTATGGGGCAGGTAAGATCAAATTTATCGGCTCAACCTCCGACCAGTTTTAGAAAGTCACACCCCTAAGCACATCGCTTCAAAGCTTGGTTGATATATGTATATATATATATATATATATATATATATATATATATATATATATATATATATATATATATATGTGTGTGTGTGTGTGTGTGTATATATATATATATATATATATATATATATATATATATATATATATATATATATGCACGGCGCGGAAGCTCTCATACAAACTACAAAGTTCCCATTTTCGAGTTTTCCTACAAAAGTCACCCGGCACCGCCACCTGGATCCCTTCATGCTGCCCTCGCTACCCCAGACGCAAGCATGAACCGTCGCTCCTGTCTCAGGCGCGCCGTCTCCCGAGTCCCGCCTGCGGCCCGCCTGAGCGGGCGGCGGTCCGAGCCGATACCTGACACGCCGTCGTAGGTCCACCAGCCCTCCCACGAGCCGACCGCCTTCCCCGCCGGGCTGCACTGCCACGTCGGGTCCTCGCCGGCCAGCAGACAGTCTGCCTCGACCGCCTCCACCGCTGCAATCAGATGTGGTGTCGGCTCATTTGTGGCGAGTTGGCAGTCCATCAACATTTGGGCTGATGTGGGGCGCTGCTTGCGCCAATGCTGATGCGGGCGCGGACGGCTGAAATGACTTTTGGTGTTGGTGTGGGATGTGCGATGATCTATGTGAGTCTGGGACTGCATGTGCGTGTGGTTTGGATAAAAGTGTGAGTGCCAATAGTGTATCAAGCCCGGCTATGTTTGGTGGTGTGAAAAGTGGGATGTGACAAGGAAACCCCATCACTGACTCAAGCAAAGAGAAGAGGCTGTTATAAAAACAGTTTCTCAACAACTCCAAATGAAGACGAGGGAAATATCGCTACGTTTGAACGCCTTACTTCGGTGTGACTCTGTAACATTACACATTGCCGCAATGATGATGCCAGTTAGTGACAAGATAGAAATAAGAAAATAAGCAACAGCTTTTTACGCAGGCAGTTTCTTAATAATCTCTCTAGAAACTTGTTTAACATAAATCATGTATTTCCCGGTCAAAACTGCAACACGCAGCAATATCACTATCAATAAATCATTACACATCCTGAACATGTGCCGCCGCAGGCCAGCATTCTTTGAGCCAGCGCTCGTAAGCGAGGCTACTCTGGTACCAAATTCGTGTGATTAAACCCCCCTTCTATTGTCCAGACAACAACACCACCGCAACACCCACAGCAAACAGCCGCCAACAGTAAATGTCTCACAACTCAGCCTGTCCAGCACAAACCGAGCCAAGCACGTGGGTCAGAGCAACGCCGTCCGTGACGTCAGCACTGGCCGAGGCAGGCCCGCTGCACTCGGGCGTCCGGCCCGCACGGCCGGCGGCAGCGACACGCGCGGGTCAACCGCCCTCACTCACCGGCCTGCCGCAGCAGCAGCAGCGCGAGCAGCGTCGCGCCGGGGCCCATGCCGCCGCTGGCGTGGTCGTTGGCGACGGCCGCTGCCTGGGGAGGTCCGGCCGTCTCTCGTCGGCCCGCCAGCGCCCCGCCGCCGGCCAAGGAGCGGCGCCTCCCGCGTCGACGCCGCGGACGGACCGACGGCGGCCCGGGCCTGCCCAATCTGCCGTATTGATCGCCAGCGGGGCCGCCCGGGCCGCCGCCGAATTTCACAGACGGTGGGGCCGGCGCCCGGCCCGGGCCAGCCCCCTCCCCATCTCCCTGCGGCGGAGCGCCGACAAAGGCGGCCGCCGACCACGGCCGGGAGAACAGAGGCGAGGCCGCAGGGGCGGGGGGGGGGGGGGGGCGGCGGCCGCGTCAGAGGCGACGGTGTGGTGGGGCTCACTTCTGATGACGAAGCCACAGCTCTGCTGTGCTGAGATTTGCTTCGCTTTCGAGGGCGGCACTGCGGGTCTGCTGTTCCTTCATGGGCTTCACTTCCGGCAACGAAACCAAAGGTCCGCTCTTCCTAGATGGGGTTCGCTCCTAGCGACGGACCATAGATCGGTTATCTCCGGATGGGACTCACTTCTGGCGACGGAGCATAGATCTGTAATCTCCGGATGGGGCTCACTTCTTGCGACGGAGCCTAGGCCTGTCGTCCCCAAGTGGGGTTTACTTCTAGCGACGGATTATAGATCTGTTGTCTCCGGATGAGGCTCACCTCTGGCGACGGAGCCTAGTTCTGGTGTTCGCGGATGGCGTTTACTTTTGGCTGCGGAGCAAAGGTCTGCTTTCCTTGGACAATGCTTATTTTTGGTGACGGAGCATAGGTTTGCTGTCTTTGCGTAAGGTTATTTTCTGGCGACGAAGCACAGGTCTGTTGTCCTTGGATAGGGCTCACCTCTGGCCAACGAGCGTAGGTCTGTTGTCCCTGGATGGGGCTCAGTTTTGTTGAGGAAGTTGTTGGCATGCGGCCTTTAGATAGCGTTGCTTTCTGATCGCAGAATCTGGCGTCCTCCTTCCGTCGATGGGGTTCACTTCTGTCGACACACCCACTGGTCAGTCGACACTCCATGGGGCCCGCCTCCGATGAAGGAGCGACGGGTCTGTCGTCGTCTGGCTGTCGAATGCGGGGGCGGTGTGTGGGTTGCTGTAGCCAGTATTCGGGCCGCCAGCACGACAGCATACCGCCAGCGTTCGGGGAATCCCGGCGCGTCACACCAACTCACCGAATCACTGAAGCGGAGCTCCCAGCGAGGCCCGACGCCCACCGACCTCGTCATATGACACGGAACTTGACCTGACGGGATGCGGAAATGGTCAGCATGCAGAGTTTGACCAGCGGGCAGGGTCTGATCAGCGGGCAGGGTCTGGTTAGTGAGCATGGTCTGGTCAGCAGGCAGGGTCTGGTCAGCAGGCAGGGTCTGGTCAGCGGGCAGGGTCTGGTCAGCGGGCTAGGTCTGGTCTGGCTAGGACAGGGTCTGGTCAGCGGGCAAGGTCCGGTCAGCGGGCAAGGTCTGGTGAGCGGGCAAGGTCTGGTCAGTGGGCAGGGCCTGGTCAGCGGGCAGGAGCTAACGGTAGTATTGTGGTTAAGCTGCGCGTCAGGGACATTAGAGGTGCGGGGTTTGATTGATTGTTTGATTGTTTGGTTCCCCGCGGTGTCTGCCCTCTCTGCCAGGATGAGACGCCTGCGAAGTCATGTAGCAGCTGTGCAGCCCAGCAGCTGATGGCGTTGTCAAACTTAAATGATGGTAGTCGGAGGGCTGGTCGTGGTCAAAGCTGCTAAGAATGCGCTAAAATGCCCCAGCATCCCCTAGCTCTTTACCCCATGGAGATTTGGAAGTGGTGCTCTTTGCAAATAGCCTGGTACATGAAAAGGCTGAGGTTTTTAAGCAATCTGTACAAACGCTGCACACTCAGCCAATCAATACCTAATTTCGATGCCTTTAAGGCGTCGGGAAATGGCTAAAAAATAGCTAAGATTTGCACAACCATCCTGTTCTAAAAGGGGTTATAACACAGATCCAAAGCAACGTGGTTCCTCTCTAGGCTCCTTAGTTCGTACTGAAAAAGTGAGGCCTGTTTCTTAGAAGCGGTGATACTGTCTGTCGCCAGGGGTGAATTCGACCTTTGTCTGCTCTGCTGGTCATGGCTTTGGCTGGATGGCTACCGCCCATGCATTTGACTTCCCCTGTCGACCTAAAATATAGGATCCTTATATGAGAGCAATATGTCTCTTCAATGACTGTGAATAAGCAGACAAAATGACTGAAATGTCGAAAATGCTAACATTTTTACAGAGGCAGTAGTCACAATACCACAAACCACTTGTTCCGATTCAATGTTCATATTTACATCGTTCTTCCGCATACTATGCCAACATTGGCATCAAACCAGGCTTGCATGAATTATGCGCCAGGATTCCACTGTTGAAAGTCGGAGGCTCCTCCGAACAATTTCAACGGAAGTATCTCCGTAAGCTCATGCCGCGCATGTAGCAGGCGGATCCCCACAGTGACGTCGAGCTTTGTAGCACTCCGATACGCATCATATTGGAGGGGACCTTGCTAGAGGCTACACACAGACAGACACGTAGCCAACATTCCTACCTGGGGAAAATAATTATCCAAAGAATTTGGACAATTTCGTAAGAAATCACCTGGTTTCTAGTGTAAGCCTCCACGATTAGGGGGGACGGCTCCACTTACCCGGTTAGGTGGCCAGAAGAGCCCCTGAGCAACCAGAGTTGACCATTGGTGACCAGGACAGCCCCTGACGAACAGCAAAACCCCTAAACAGTCAGAGGGGAACGTCACAGGCCAAGGGCTACTCAGTGTCCCCGGCCGGCAGCATAAGACCGGCGACTGAGTGTCCCCTCAACGACCAGGAGGGCCCTGAAAAGCCGAAACAATCCACAAGCGGCCGGAGGGCCCTGAACGAACAGGGATCCCTGAGCGATGAATGCGACGCCTGAGCAACCAAAGAGCTCCTGAGCAGTACCGAGGCGTCTCTCGTCGTGTCCAAAAGGCCGTTAGTAAAGGCAGAGGGGTCCGAAGTACCCATAAGGGACCTTAGGCGTCAGAGTGCCCCTGGTGGCCAGAAAGGGTCCACTGGACGGCCAGTGAGGTTCTGGGATGTTTAGATCGGCTTGATGAACAGCCAGAGGTGGCCAGGTACTGTATGGGCTTTTATTCTAGCAATATCTTTCTTCTTTCATCTTTCTTATCTTTATTCTTTATTTTTTTATTATCTTTCTTTTCTTATCTTGTATCTTTAACTCACCTCATTTGGTACGATCATTTTCCTTTCCAATGCGCGAGTCTAAAAAACCTTCCCACGGGGCAGGCTTTGCACCCTTCCTCCTCGGAATCTCGGACCTACGTTACATTTTCCGGGGCCCGCCCGCGGACCGAGAGTCCCGACTCTCCTCTCCCCGGCCCCGATGGGATCTCCAGCCGTCGCGAGGTGGGGAGTGATTGAGCTGGTGACACGAGGTGAGAAGAGATGAAGTGGCCAGACCAACGTCATTATGTGCGGACTGGCTAAACCGCACTGCCGTGGCCGGTTCGTAGGAACCGGTCAGGATACACTACGGAGATGACACGCACTCCACGCAGAAGCTGAGCTACGGTGATTCCAAACGCGCAGTGTATTTTGAATCCATATCAATACTTTTTCTCGGGATTTAGACTACGGCTATAATTTTTGAGTTGAATGGATACAAAAGTTATGCGCCGGTCTCATGTTTTTCCAGGGTATTTAGTTTATGCTGTGATAACCATTCAACCAATTGATTTTAGCTTAATGCAGGTGGGAGGCGAGTATACAGTTATGTTACTTGTGTTAACACATAACGAATGGTGCAAAGAGGTGCACAACTGAGTGCGCTCTGTGTGCGCCGGATCGGAGCGCACCTTTGGCGTGCGTGTCCTACAGAGCGGCGGGGGGGGGGGGCTGCGCTGAGGGAGGATGGCGGGGAGATCATCGCCCCCACCAATCTCGCTCTGTTCTCCATCGCAGCGCTGCTCACCACCTCTCTCGATGGGTGGAGGATCTGATGGTGTGGAGGCACTCAACCTGACATGGGGGACGCACCGCCTTGTTCCGTGCCACAGGGCAGCAACAATGCCCTCAGTAAAACGGATGTAGAAGCTCCTCGAAGAACGTAACAGTATGTGTGGCAGGTGAGCATGCGTGCTGTGAGCGGTGCCTCTCAAGTTTACATCGGTAGAGTTTGCTTTATTGTTGTTCGTGCCAACTGAGCTTCCGAGATGTGTTTCTTTCGTGTTTTGGGACGGGATATCCACTTTTAAGAGTATTGTTGCACTCACACAAACCATCCGCGTGGGACATGCCCTTTTACATACTGCTTTTCCTGCTCCGTTCCAAAGAAAAAATATATACCGCTGGGAAAAAGAATAGTGAGCTGAAGTAGTACTAGCGCGCAGCGCAGCAGGTAAAGAGTTAGCCGCATGCGTGCACGCGGCGACGTTCTGACAGCTCCATTCAAAATGGTGCAGAGTAGCTTTCCTGATGATCTGATCGAGCGCCATCATAATTGAGCAGACCATACATCTCTGTCCAGTGCAATTGTTTGTGCGATAATGCAATCTGGATATCATGTGCGCTCTTTTAAATAGGGAAAACAATGAAAATAAATCGAGACATTAGAAGAGGTAGCGTAAAGTCTGCTCGAGATTACATGACACCCCGGATGCCGTCTGCTGCGCTGGCGAATGCTACGACTGATGTCCAAGTTGTCAAGTGATGGCATGTACTAACGGTGCGGTCGTGTAGAAGGCCAAACGCTCAATCCATCTGATCCATTTCATATCTTGCGCCTGGGGAGTTAAAGTCGATTGACACTCACGACCCATCGATTAAGAGCCGATTGTCACGTGATATCACGTGACATCCACACAAGTTGTTATGCATGACACTGGGCACCAGATGTTGTCAAATGATTCCCATGTGATGCTGGAGTTGGTCCTTCATCCATAGCCAG